AGCTTTATGAAAAAAAAAAACAATAATTAAAATATAATAGTAATCAGCATAAAAATCACCTTCAGATGAATTACTGCATATTCAATTGCAGCCCCCACTCCAGAATATTTCTTCTGCAATAAATAGATGAAAATTTCAGTATCAAACAATTATGTGAAATAAATTAGGAACAATATATAGATTAAAATTAGGAAAAAATAAATAAATAAATAAATAAAGTTTTACCCGATCAAATGGTGGGACCATGCTAGCAATGTTACGGACCATAAAGGCCTCACCAGGTTGGAAATTGAGTACATGGGAAGGACATACTCTGGAATCTGAACAAGCAAATACCATGAACTGCACATACATTTATTAAGTGTATGTTAATCAGTTGCCAAATTTTGTTTTGTTGTACAAATGAAAACATTTTGCAGTAAATTCTTTATCTAGAATTTCAGTAGATGTGGAAATATTGTAGTTGATTGACATATATATATCATCTGATTTACCTTGGGACTTTGGCCTTTGGCAAGTTCACCATACAAATCAGGGTTTTTCCTACAAGTGATAAAAAACAGTTACTAATCAGAAGCAACGAAATTCATTAAATATAACATAGCAAAAAAATATATATATATATATATATATATATATTATTGTCCAAATGCATAACTAAATTACTTTGGAACTTTAAGAGCTGTGTTTGGTAAGCACCGAAAGCTAGCTTATAACTTATTTTATTAACTTACAAGTTTTCTGTATGCATATAAGTTTGATTTGGCATGACGAGCTCTTTTGAAAAATTCGAGCTTATCTTATAAGCTTTCTTAGATAGCTATTCAAATAAGTCAATTGAAATTTTTAATTCAACTAACTTATAACTACTTTAACCAAACAATTCTATCATATCACCTAGTTTTTCAGCCATAAATCATAAGTTATCAGTTATAAGCTCGAAAATTCACTTATGTGCAATTAGCTAATTTATCACTTATTAGTTAAGTTTACTAAACATAGCCTAAGTGGTTTATCAAATATGAGATTTTCTTTATTTTTAACTAGATTTTCCGAGATGAAAAATCATTTTTTTGCCTATAAAAAATCCTTAAAAATCTAATGTATCGAGGTGGAATTTGGTGTGAGATTTTGAATACATATTTTATCTTAAAAATATTTTTGATATCTTTTGAAAAGTCAAATGAATAAATTTTTTAAAAGTTTTAAAAAATCTAAATTAAATATATTATGATCCTCAAAAGTAACAAACAAATTTAAAAATTCATGAATGAATACACTTAGGGTGTGATTGGATATCAACTCAACAAAAAACCCAATCAAAATTCAAATCTAAATCAAATATAACTCAATCTCACTATATTCAATATTATCAATATAATTAAATAATATTAACTGATCATCACTTCACACCATGTCTTTCCTATTTTTACATCAAATCAACTTTAATAATTTTATTATAAATATTATTTTAATATAAACTCAAAACCCGCTTACAATTAACTATACTACATTTTTATTAAAATTAACTATAATTATTAAAAAAACCAATTAAAATCAAATCAGATTCATATCTAATCACACTCTTCACTGTATTCAAGACTTTTTTTTTAAGTACAATGTACTATTCAAGACTTTTGTTTTTACATATATAGTATCCAATAAAAACAATTATGACCAACCGGAAACACAAACTTTTATGCATTTCATGTGATTCTGTATAATTTTCCCAAAATACAACTACTTTTATATATGAAGTAGTTTATTATTATTATTATTATGCTATGCAATTTTTATGTTAGATAATTATATTGTCAGCAGATAGATATGATTTTAAATTAAAATGTCATTGTTTTTGAAAAATCATCATAACGATAAGTATACATTTCATTAAAACAGTATGTCGCCCTAAATTTATATATTATCCATTTATTAATAATATTATTACTCACCCATAATTTTCTTTCTTAAAATGCTCGAACCCAGCGCGGATTCTCTCGTCCGGGTCAAACACCGCCTTCTCAGCCAACACCGCCGTCAACTCCCTCACTTTCACGGCGGCTGCCGCTTTCACCTCACTTTTCTCACTGCACTCCGAAAACAAAAAAATAAAAAATAAAAAAAAATAAATAAATAATGAATATTTCCAGAAAAAGAAATTGCCACAAATAGTGAGCGATGAGATCATCAAAATTCGTTAATGTCCTAATTCACAGAAAGGGTCAGAGCTTTCCACATGAATTACATCTGATTGTCATAAATAGACTGAGGGAATCCCGAGGAGCCGCCGAGGGGCAAAAATGGAAAAAACCAATTGATTAAAAGATCAAACAAAAGTAGCCGAAAAATATGGCTACCTCAGAAGGTTGTGCAGTCCTGCAATGGCTTCCTCGTACGCGTCGTTTGCCATTTCCCTCTCACTGCAACACGACCACCACATATTTATTTATTTATTTAATTTATTTATTTATTATTATTATTATTGCTCAACAAATAAATTCAAAAGTGATCGCCAATTAATTAATAACTTGATCAAATCATCATGTATAAATCGAATTAAAATGTCAAACAAATATTGTTGATGATTGCCTTTTATGATTTTATCATTGATGTTTCCTTGTTTCAGCCTATCATGATATATATGATCCTTCCAAAAATAATATACTCAAATTCTGTAAAGATTATAAATGGAAGCTCTTGCTCTTCTATGTCAACAAATAATTTAACATAGCTAAGCGACATAAATAAAAGGAAAATGGAAATTTTTATTTTTGTTTTATAAAAAAAAAATTGGGATTATGATATTCTGACCTTTTGAAGATGGCGTTCGACGCTGCTTTTGGAATAATCCAAAAGTTAAGAAGATGGAGGATATTAATTTCGGGAAATGATGTCCTAAAGGGAGGCCCAGCTTCTTCTTAAATAGCAGTGATATAAAATCAACTAACCATGGTTAAGAAAATGAATCCGATGGATAACGACCACGGTTAGTGCTGTACGAATCAACAAAATATAAATTATTTTATTTTAATTTATGATTATTCATTTAGAAAACATGAATAGTCTAGCTCTACAGTGTGAATCGATTGACAAAAAAGAAGGGCGTGTGTGGGGGAGGTGGGCCGTGGACACAAACGGCCTTTCGATTCCTTTTTTTTTTTTATTTTTATTTTTTTTTCTTTTTTTTCTTTTGTGTAGCGTGTTAAAAATAATAGTTTTCATTTCCATATAATTTGGTCAAAGAACAATCCAGGAAATCTACTATTTCTGTAGCATATACTTGCTAAATTATTTTTCTATGGACATTTAAATAATAACACATAATTATAGGAATTGAGAGTGATTACAAAGTCAAGTTTCTGTAGTATACTCTACTAGGAATATGGTTGCGAATATTTTTCATTGGGCTGTGCATTATTGAGAACGTAGAAAGACCACTAAAGTACTATATTCGGACAACAGTAGGAGTTCAAGTAAGTCAAAGCATATTGAAATAAAGTTTCTTGTAAAAGAAAGAGTACATAGTGGACAAATATCTAACACTCAAGGTCTTTCAGTAACATATGGTTCGAATGGGTGTGACACGTTTTCATAATTATTTTGTTTTAGAGAAAGTTTGTATTAATTTTGTTGTTCTATATACATACTAGTACGATATTCGTGTATTACACGGGTACTTAAATATATTAATATTTGTACAATAAAAAAATAAAATAACTTATTTTTTATTATAAAATTATGTATAATGAATATACAAAAATAATCTATCGTTTCGGGGAAAAAAAAAGAATATACAAAAATAATGAATAACTAACAAAGTAGTAATTAATTCAAAATGGGGCCCGTATTTTTGTACTTAATTTTCTTATTTTATTTAAAATCTATGAAAAAAATAATTATTTTATGGTGTATTAGTGAATTAGATTTTTATTATATTTATTATAAAATAATTTATATGTATTTATATTTTTGAAATTATTTTTTTAATAAATTTAGTTTTATTTATAATGATAGATATATTTATTTTTTATTTTATATATGCAATATGGATGTCAAATCAAAGATCGTTAAAATATAATTCTTTTGAGATATAATATACAAAAAAATAAAATACAATTAAAAAAATTATAAGGATTTAAAATAAAAAGAACACATATTTATAACAATTATTACATGAATTAAATAAGAAAAAGTAAAAGTAGTATATGGTACCTTAAGGAAACAAAAAAACTAAAATAGTTTATGTTAATTTCCAAGCCTAAAACCAAACATGTACATGTGTCAATACAAAGCATATAATTATGCCAAATAAACTTTTGAAGCATACGAGTCTGCTATTTAGGCTCAACGCATTCGAAAATTATATATATGGGTGATTGTATTTATGTGTTTGGATATTTATGTTCAAATATAAAGTATTCAACTTCTTATATTTATGTGTTTACATTACATGTAATTTTCATGTTACACTTTCATGATTAATTTATGTCATTTGATTGCAACGGTATATGTGATTATCGACAAGTTGATTCATGCTTAATATGATGAAAATCTCTTTAGTCCTATGTCATTATGATTAATGAATGAGAATGGTAAATGATACTCCTGTATGTGATAACAAATTTTGAGCTCATAAAGCAATACACATTTGTTCGGTTGCATATATAGTCGAAGTAGGAGATTGTTTGAAATATTTTATTTTGACAACATACGTAAATTAAATGTGTTTTGTTGTTATAATATAGTTCAATAAATGTGATCTACTAATTATAATTTTGAATATTATTATGGATTTAAAAGTGTACATATTATTATGAGATTTTTAGCTTGTTGTTGGACCAAAAAGAAAATTAAAAGAATTAATTACCTGGTAACAGCCCCAAGTGACAGAATGAATAAACAAATTTCTGAATATGTGCATTCTCCCTTAAAAGGCAGCACAATGCAGAACAATATATATACACACCCATGCGCGCGCGCACACACACGTTTTATACACGTTTTATGTGATTTAAACATAATATCATTACACACATACAAAATATATCTGCAATATATATCTATTGTTCCGATCATTTGAAAAACCGCACTAGTCCAACAAATCTATAGTTATATATAAAGGTTTAGATTTATTAAATATAGTATGATTTTCCCTCCAAAAAAATCTTTCTTACTAAAATAAGAAATTTTTTGAAAACATTAATCATTTTTAATTTCTTTTTGATACTTTTTTCTTTACCATCCATGGTGATACTTTTATTTTTATTTTAAATAATGTTATATCAATAATATTGATCTAAATCTATTGATCAACTTTCTAAAAAATTTAAATCTATTATTTTTTTTCTATCTAATCATTTTTTTTTTTAATTTTCAGTTATGTGATATCAAAAATTGGAGATTCAACTTTTAAAANTCTCTTATCCATATTTTAAACATCATACCAATTTAATTTTTATTTTACAATTTTCGATTTGATACTCATATTGTATATATAAATAAAGATTATTTATTTTCAAAGTATTAATAAGTATAAGTTAATCTTGCATAAAAAAATATGAATTTAAATTTACTATTTAATACTAATTTCAAATAAGAAATTAGTCTCTTATTCACGCAATGAAATATGAATGCATTTATAATAAAATATATCTAGTATAAAATAATTTAAAATAGTATTTTGCATGTTTATCATTTATGTGAACCAAGTGATATTATATTGCAATTTTTGTTAATGTACTTTTATTAATGTATGGTAAATTCAAGATTCTCAGAAATGGGTCACCATCGAACCGATCAAGTTATTTATTCAATGATCTACTAATTGGACTAGAATTTTTAATTTTTTAATATTTTAATATATATATATATATATATATTTAGTACTTTCTGTAATAAATTTATATAAAAAATAAATTAAATATTTGAACAATTTAAAATTTTAAAATGTTTAAAGTAACTGATTAATAATTTATAAATCTCTATTTTATATATATATATATATATTTTATTCATATTAAAAATAAATTTAAAGCTAATAAAAATTATTTAAAAAATTGTATCGGTCCTAACCGTTCAACCAGATGATGTTGAGTGGTTCGCTAGTAAACATTCGATCGATAAACCAGTTCTCGATACATTCGGTCGGACTGTCCGGTCCTATCCGATTTGATTTTGAAAACACTGGGTAGATTTATATGATCAATGTTATTTATATATTTAGTTTATAATAAAATAGTAATATTATTTTCTCGTGTATCGTATGGGTCACGTACTAGTTGACGAACAAAAAAAAATTCAAATAATGAATTCTGGTACAATTATGCTTTTGGGGTTTATATTTTAACAGCGCAACTTGTATGTTTGAATGTGATTTTCACATATTTTAAATGAGATTAGATTTTAGATTCCTTTTTGGTTTCTTCAATATCACAGGCCACGGCGTCACGCTTAAGGATAAATAATTAATCCTGTGATTAAGAACGTCAATGTCCACTGTTATGTGAGCGTGATTTGTCAGAACTCACAGCATAAAGCCAATAATCTACGATAATTGATTCTTATCTGAATGAGTTATTTAGGAGAAACCAACGTGATATTTTTGAATGAGTATAGTATTTAAATGTTGAGGCATCAAATTGCTATTTTTACTGCCATGACAAATATATAACTTGTGTCTCTGTGTGTATATATATTGTATATACATGTAACATGAAAGAGATAAATCATAAATGTATAATGTATAAATTCAATCAGTTAATGTATATTGATCCTAATATAAGAATCCAGTTTTGTTATGGAGCTCGGATGGCTCGACTTATGGAGTCATCGACACTTATTCACCAATAGTGTAATGACAAGTGTCCTATAATAAATATAATTTGGACATGTGTCAACACATTAATGGCATGATTGGTATGAAGGAATGACATGAGAATGAAATGATCATTCCCTTCCTCATTCCTATTTCCATGATTGGTATATTTTTTGGAAGAATGACCATTCCAATGGGCAGAGCCGGTCCTATAAATTATTAGGCCCTGGGCCAAATATAAAAATAATACCCCAAAATTAGACATGGCCACGGGCCGAACCGGCCCGTGGCCCGGACCGTGAACCGGTACCGAACCGGCCCGTAACCGGCCATATTCGGGCCGGTCCGTTGGACCGAACCGTAAGGGTCGCGGTTCGGTCCAGGGTCACTGCTTTTTTTTTTTTTCCACCGGCGGTTC